GCTCAGGCACGCCTGCAGCAGGGGCGGGGCGTGGGCTGGGGCGGGGCGTGGGCTGGCACCGGGCGGTAGAGCAGGTAGGCATGACTGGGTGTCTCCGCCAGGTGGCGCCTGGGCAAGGCTGGGCTCTGAGGTGGGGAGAACGCCATGAGCTGAGCAAGGCCCAGGCTAGGGAAGGACCAGGCTGGGAAGGACATGGGGGTCGCGTGGGGAGCCATGTCCACCAAGACCTGGGGAGGTTGGCCCTCAGGCATGCCAGACACAGTCCTGGCCCTGGGCCTGGCTGTCCAGGCCCACCGCGTACGGAGAATTCCAGTCCCTCTCGAAGAGCTGGCGCAGCTGCTTCTGCACGGTGGCCACCCCCGGTGGGGCGTGGGAGGCCTCCTGGCTGACCACCAGGCCCACCCCTGCGGTGCTGCTGAAGTACTCTTCCGACCAGTTGGAGGTGCCTGCGGGAGGGGTGCGAAGGAGCGCTGGGGCGGGGCGCACCCGGCCTCGGCAGCCTGAGCTGTGCTGGCGGGCCCTCCCTGCACCCGCGCACCTGGGGCCGGTGTCCTGACTCAGTGGTCTGGCGGCCCGAGGCCCCGGCCCCCTGGCCCCCTCCAGGGGAGCTGCCCTCCTCAGCAGCCGCTCTGTTCTGAGCAGCCCAGCTGGCAACGGAGCAATGCCTATGAGAGCCCACGCCAGGTCGCTGCCGCGGGCCTGTGGCCTGCGTGTCCAGGCTGGGCCCCTCAACAGACAGAGCCCCGCACTGGGCCCCAGCGTGCCGGCCCGCAGCACACCTATGTAGGCAGCCTGCTCGGTGACCAGGAACTTGCTGTGGTTCACCCTGCTGAACGGGATGCTGGAGTGATTCCCCACCGGCACAATGAAAATTTTCTTTTGGAAAGAGAGAGGGGCTGTCAGGCGGGGCAGCGCGCTGCCCCGCCCGCCCAGGGAGCTGGGCCTCACCACGTCCACCGAGACCCCAGCGGCCGGGTCGCTGAGGGCCTGCAGGGACCGCAGGAAAGGGAACATGCGGGGGTCAGTGTGAAGCCAGCAGCTGACCAGCAGACGCACGCGCACGCCCCGACTGACGGCCGCCGTCCTCAATGCAGTGTCCAGCACCGGCCAGTACCTTGGGGAGAGAGGGCCAGGGCCCTCAGGATGAGTGGAGGTCCTGGGAGCAGAGGGAAGGCGCCCGGGAGCTGCCCACCGGCAGTTGGCCTCTGCTGCGCTGGACCCTGCGAGCGCCCTTAGGGCCGCCAGCAGCAGCAACGTCCAGGCCCTGCCCGGGCCCGGCCCCGCCTCCCCGGCCCGCCCCAGGGCCCACCCCAGGGCCCCATCCCCGCCTCCAGGTTCCTGGGCCCAGGCCTTGCCCGGGGGCCCAAGCTCCTTCTCTGTGCAGACCCACCTGAGGCGGCTGAAGCGGGAGGTGGGGAAATACTCCATGACCGAGGCGTACAGGAACTCCCGGGCGCTCCCCATCACGGCCAGCAGTGCGTCCAGGTCGCGGGTGCGGCCCCGGGGGCAGAGCGCAGGCGGCGATGCCTGTGGGGGAGAGGCGCACTGGACTGGGGGGCTGTGTCCTGGACCCCAGGCCCCACCATGCACCCGCCCCAGGCGTCCAGGGGAAGCTAAGCAGCGGCCTGGGGCAGCCAATGTGTGCCGGGAGAGCTCTGGCTGTGTGCTGGTGCAGCGGCCCTGACCTCCGGGTCGCCTGGGGGTGTGGTGGCCTCGGGGCGCTTGCCTGGGCCTGACGCTAGCAGAGTGCCAGGATGGCTCCCTGGGCCGGGGGGAGCCCTGGCCCCCCGGAGTGCTAAGACATCAGCCTCCCAGGCTGCCCTCTGCCTGCGGACAATGAGGACAGCGGGCCTGGAGCAGGGCTGGGCCTGTGTGGGCTCCGGGCAGGCTCCCGGGGTCCTGAGGGCACACTGGGGTCTGCAGCCCGGCCTGCCCACCCTTACCGAGAAGTAGGCCGCGGTGGGCACCCCGTCAAAGTGGCCCCGGAGAGGGTGGGAGCGGTTGATGCGGGAGGAGAAGTTCTGAGGCCAGTGTCTGGGCAGCGTGGCCTGCGGCGCCCCCAGCACCCAGTAGGTCTGGAAGGTCCTCTCCAGGTCCTGGGCCAGGCGGCTGCAGTTGTACAGCACGGCACCCAGCTCCTTCACCTGCGGGACAGTCATGGGCGCCGAGGCCGGACGCGAGGCCCGCACCCGCCGCCAGCCTGCCGACGCCACTGCACTAGGTCAGGTGGGGGCCAGGGCCCGGTGCCCGGCGGCCCCTTTTGCCCTCCACACTGTATTCAGAGACCAGGACAGGTCTGTTACCAGAAGCAGCTAGACACAAACTGCCCATGAAGGGCCGCCCCGCCGGGCGCCACGTCTGCAGGGCGCTTCAGGCGCGCACCGTCGCGCTGCCGCCGAGCCCGTCCTGACGCGGGCGGCACCCACCTGTGTCAGGGACCGCCAGTCCATGTTGGCGCTGCCCAGGTAGATGTGCCGGCCATCCACAACCCAGAATTTCGAGTGCAGGACACCTCCGATGAGCTGCCTCATGGGCACCTGTCGCACCTGGGCCCCTGGGGGCCAGCCCGCTGAGCCGGACCCCTCGAGAGGCTGACAGCCCAGAGCCCACCCTCGGCGTCCTGGGGGCGCAGGGGCCCTGACCGCGGGCACCCACCTTGGGCCGCCAGCACCTGCAGGTCCGTGGAGCCCTTGACCAGCGCCGGCTTGCTGGTCACCACGGCCAGAGACACATTCCTGGCCAGCAGCTCCTGCAGCCTCTGCAGGAGGGCTTCCCCCTGTGGCCATGGGCAGCCGTGAGTGATGGGCGGACCCAGAGGCCCCCGGCACCCTTCCCATAGTTCAATCGGACAGCTGTGCCGGGGTGGGGGGTAGGCGGGGGAGGCTGTAGACTCAGGGGGTCCGCGCCACACCTGCTGTGAGGAGGAATCGTTGACCCCGACATCAGGCCCTGTGAGGGACCAGTAGAAGGAGGCCACGTGGACACTCTCCTGGGCGGCGTCCAGCAGCTGCAACCAGGCCTGGGCCAGGGGCCGGGCTGCCGGCTGGCCAGCAGCAAGCGCCAGGTCCTGGGGAATGCTCTCCACGAGGTCCAGCCTGTGGGGGTGTGAGGGGTGTGGCCGGGTGAGGGCGTGGCCGTCGGTGGGCGGGGTGTCGGTGGGGCGTGGCCATCTGAGGGCGTGGTCGGCGTGAGGGCCGGCCCCGCCTACCCAGCCTTCAGGCTCGGGGCGCAGCAGCTACTGTGGCCCCTGGCTGAGCCAGGAGACACAGGGAGACCCTCCACCCTGCTGGCAGGGGCGGAGCCCCAGGGGGAGCCCTGTCTGCCCCGCCCCTGGGGCTGCCGTGGGAGCTGGCCCTGAACGGGCTGGGGTGGGGGCGGGGCTGCAAGCCCTGGGCTGCGCTCCGCTCGGGTCCCAGGACCCACAGCGGAGCCGGAGGCAAGGCACGGCCTCATGCTGGGGTCCACAGTGGGGGTGCAGGGACTGTGATGGTGCCCCCCACCCCTGTCCTGGCCCCCAAGAGCAGCCTGTGCTGAAGCAAGGAGCACCTCGAGTCTCCCACTCCTGCCCTGGTTCAGTCACATGGGAGTTCAGGCTCCCGCGCTCACCCCATTTGCCTTCCCAGGAGCAGCGCAGGGCAGAGGGCCGGGACCCCCAGCCAGGCCCGCTGCCACTCACCTGCAGGCATCCTGGCTGCCGGCAGACCCCTGGGGCCGGGGGGTTGCTCCTTCTGGGTGCACCTGGCCCCCAAGGGGCAGATGGGGGGCTTGCCACAGGAAGCAGGTGAGGGTCGCCGCTCCCAGGCACAGCATGGCCAGAGCCCGCAGCACCTGCAACAGGAGGGGTGCCCACCCAGACCACCCCCATGCTGAGCGGACATGCTGTGGCCACGTATAACCAGCTGTCCTCCCCAGCCCCAGGACAGAGGTTGTGAGCAGGGAGCCATGACCCCCGCTGACTTTGTCCTGGCCACTCAGGCAAGGGCCCGTGAGGACACTGAGCCTGTCCCTCCACCCCTACCCTGGAGCCTCTGTCCTGTGGGTTGGGGCTGGCACAGAGGACAGCCTTAAGGGTTGCTGTCCACCTCTGTGGGGCCACCACGCAGGACAGCTCTAGCCTCTGGGCAGCCCCGCTGTGCCCAGCAGGTGGGTATGGAAACTCCTGGTTGTGTCCCAGAGACCCACAGGCAGCCGGGGGCGCCCGCTGCCAGCAGACCCCTGGAGACGGGGATCGCTTCTTCAGGGCACACCTGGCCCCCAGGAGGAGGGGGGCTCGCCACAGGAAGCGGGGGTGGGTCACCGGGCCCCGGCACAGCACGGCCAGAACCCGCAGCAGCTGCAACCTGCAGGCAGAGGCTTGCTCGACCCTGGCTTCCACGCGTGCGCACACGTGTGCGAAGGTGCGTGTGCCCACGGGCGTGTGTGAGCCTGTGTGAGCACGTGAGTGTGTGTGCGTGCGAGGCGTGTGTGCGTGTGAGCGCGTGAGCGTGTGCGAGCGTGTGCACGAGCGAGTGTGCGAGCGTGTGCGAGCGCATGTGCGTGCGAGAGCGTGTGTGCGAGCATGTGAGCGTGTGTGCGTGCGAGAGCGTGTGCGTGCGAGAGCGTGTGTGTGCGAGCATGTGAGCGTGTGTGCGTGTGCACGCACTGTATGTGCGTGTGCAGGTGTGTATGTGTGTGCGTGTGCCTTCACCACCCGACAGGCTCCGCCGGGCCAGCGGGCCGCAGCTCCCGTTTCTGCCTGCGCTGGGCGCCTGCCTCCTCCTGCCTGGTCCGCCCGGCCGGCCCTGTCCCGCCCACTGCCCGGCCTTTGCGCGCTGCTCGGCGGCCTCCGAGAGAGGCGGCCCCAAAGGGAGGGGCTAGGCCCTGGGCCCGCGGCTCAGGGGACCCGGCGTGGCAGGCGGCCCCAGGCCCGCTCCCGAGGGCGCCCCTCGAGCTGCACCCCCAGGTCCGGGTGGCCGCCCCGGCAGTGACAGCGGGGTCCGGCCTCAGGGCTGAAGGGGCACCTCCCGCTCTGTGGGGAAGGCTGGGCCAAGGGCCTGCTCTCAGCCCATCGGAGACCCAGAGGGCTGGGGCCCAGCTGCCAGACGGGAGAAGCAGAAGCGAGAGCTTCAGCTGCAGGCTCTGTACCCTCGGGGTGAGGGCCGCAGCAGTTCCAGGCCCTGGGCAAGGGACCCCCCACTTTTCTGGCTTCCACTCTCCCAGGCTTCCGGCACATACCTCTGGGGATCCAGTGTCAGTGCCCATCCTGCCCCAGCGCAGACTGGCCCTCGGCTCGCAGTGCCTGCCCGGCCGAGCCCGCCTGCTGCCTCCCTCTGGCGCTGCCCCGCCTACTCACACCTGCTGCCATGGGCCATGGAGAGGCGGCTGGCCACTTTCACTTCCAGAGGAAGTTCCTTCTCTCCCACCCCCACTGCCACAGGCCTGGGTATTGGAGTCGGGCCAGCGCCAGCCAGGGGCCAACCAGGACTGGGGAAGGCATCTTCTCGCCCAGCTGCCTGGTGTGGGGCTGGTCCAGCCCTCAGACCCAGGTTCCTGGGTTGGCTCTCGGTTTCGTGGCCCCCAGGGGGCTGCTGGTACACAGCCATCGCCCCCATGCTCCTCACCGCATACAGGGAACATCGCAGAGATGCGCTGGCAGCCCCACCGGCATGTGACAGTCACGTGACAACGCAGAGCTGCCAGGGAGGCTGGGAGCTGCAGGCACTTGGCCCTGGTCCTGGCACACCAGGGCCCTTGGGCCTGCAAAGGCAGGAGGGGCTAGAGTTTGTGGGTGTGTAGCCCCAGGTCCCTGAAAGGGGCTCTGCTTCACCCCTGGGTGCCCCCTGGATAGCGGGCCTGTGACCCTCAGATTGGGCCTCTCAAAACAGGCCCTCACTTCTGTGGGGGCCTCCCTAAGCAGCCGGGGCCCTGTCCAGGGTGCTGACCCCGCGGGGCAGGGGCAGGGCCCCTGCAGGAAGCCACCCCTGCCCACCACAACTGAGGGCCCTGGGGCCAGTGCAGGTGGCAGGGAGTGGGCTGAGTGTCCCCACACCCCTTTATTGCACTGGACACCCTGCCCTTTCTAGGGGTGCTCGCCCTCAGGGACTGGCTTGCTCTGTCCTTCAGTCTGAGCTGGTTCAGCTAGGGGCCACCCACCAGGAACCCCAACTGTGCAGACCTCCCAGCCCGTGCAGCCCCATCTCAGCTGTGGGGTACTGTGGGCCCCACTGCATGGCCAGCTTGCACCCCAAGAGAGTGGTGGGGCCTCCCTGAGCACTTGGCACTGGCCGGCCCATGCCCTTTCCTCTCCTGGCTCGTGGCCACTGTGGGTCTACAGGACAACCCTGGGCTTGCGTGTGGTCAGGGCCCCTCCCAGAAGGGTGGTGCCAGGCTCCCCGGGGCGGGGAGAGGTCTTGTGTGCAGGCACTGGGGCACATCTGGCCATGCAGTGCCCCCCTGGACAAACTGTGGGCCCCCTCCCCATGTGGCTGACCTCCACGGTTCCCCCCCCTTGGTCCCCAAGGGGAAAGCACCTTTGCAATTTATGCAAACTGTGAGGACTCTGCTTTCAAAGCAGCTTTAGGTTCACAGCCAGATGGAGGGGCGGTATGGACCCCCACCTCCTGGCCCCCAGATGTGAGGGCCACCCTGCCTAGGGACCTCAATTCAGAGTGTTTCCAGGACTGGGGGCTTGGGAGAGGGTCTTATGCCTGCTACATGGGGCAGGGGAGGCTGGGCAGAGGGGTGCGGGGGCAGCCGACACCTGTCCTAGAGCAGCACTGGGGGCCAAGCTGGTGTATGGGGATGCGAGGGGAGCAGAGCTGGGGGCAGCGTGCTGATAGGTGGCAGGGCAGGGCGACAGGCACTTGGCTGGACCCGGGCACTTGGCTGGACCCGAGGCCACTGCAGCCCTCACAGACGGGGGGGGGGGGGGGGGGG